AGCAGGAAATGAACAGGAAAGAGTTTTTGTCATAGATTAATCCAAACCTCAGATCTTGGGTGGATGCATAGGATTTTCTATTGCAGCTCAGGGGTGGGAATTTAGCATGAGTGCCTACACTCTGTTCCTAAGGAAACACATTAAGCAGCTGGACATCCGACAGCAGCAGCATTTCTGGTGAAGGGACTCATTAGATGGCGTTATCTGTGTAAGCACAAACACTCACTGACACCGTTAACACGCTGTGTCACCGTAATGCCAGGCGGAGAGGGCTAGCCCCTATACCCTCACATTGCTGAGGGAAAGCTGAGGTGCCCAGAAATGTTTCCTGATTGAGCCGAGTTTGCTGAGGCAGGACTCCCTGCAACAACCCCCTTCTGCTGCCATAAACACATTTCTTAAGGAAACTTTCAGAGCTGCTCCATGTTCCAGCATCTGGGCTGCACATTTAGTGACAATCCCGCACCTTTTTCTAGCGATATGCCAGTGTAAATGGGGTTTTGCTCCACTGCCTCTTCTCCCACATCAAGCGAGTTACTTCTGATACCACGCAGTTCATCTCCACCGGAGCAGCAGCAGCGTCAACTTTGCCATCACACTGAAGACACCGTGAGATGGGCACTGGTTGCAACCAGAGAACAGCAGCCATGAAGGCACAGCCCTGAATCAAGAGTGGAGAGAGCTGAGTTAACAAAAAGGAAGCTCCACCAGGAGGCAGTACCTTCAAAGGACAGGTTTGAGTCAAAATAAATCCAGTGTAGCAGCAGGGAGTTGGCCCTGCTACGCGGTGGAGGAACCTCAGCTTCTGGTTCTGTTGAGTTCGTAATTGACAAAGCCCTGTAAGAACCTGCTGCTCTCCCCATACGAACCTGTCCCAGGTGAAGATGTACCACCCTCCTTCTTCGCCCTTGCCAGACTCCTGGACCACAGTGTCTGGTTCTTGAAAATATTAGGTGATGAGATACCGTGGTCTAAGCTAGGCAGTTATTAAGTAGCCTTGTGCAGACCAGGAGTTGATTTCTGACAAGCTCTCTACTCTAACTACTAGGGGATGCAGTGGTTACAACTCTCACGGACCTAGGAGGATTTTGAGGCTGTGTGCACCCTTGGAGAGTCTTGCTGCTGTAGCAATACTGCTAAAATGTGAAGAGGATCTAGGACTCAGGCCAAATCTTGCCATGAAATAGATTTATTTTTCCTTCAGGATTGCCATTATAAATCATACTGTAATGGAAAATTTGCTCTTTCTCACAAGTTTTCTGTAGAAAGTATCTGATGAAATGTTGTCTAAAAATCCTTTTCAATAAGAAATACAAATTTTTTGTATGTGCAAACAATCTGTCAGTTATCAGCTCTTGGTGACTGCTGTGGCAGTATGTGTGGATTGTTGACAGCCCTCACATGAGATATAATCCTGACCTTCTGGGGCTTGCCAGAATAAAACTATTTCTCTTCAAGCAGTATTTTCACAGAGATCTCAACCAATAAAACATCTTTCCTCTCTCTGTTGACCATTTGTCATTTTAATAACACCATCTTTGATCAAATCTCCATGAACGAGGAAATAACCATCCACCACAGACCTTCACCATGGATGAGCACTGGGATCCCAGAAGGTATTCAGAAGACGTGTAGACATGACGCTTAGGGACATGGTTTAGTGGTGAACTTGGCAGTGTTAGGTTAACGGTTGGACTCAATGATCTTAAGGGTCTTTTCCAATCGAAATGCTTCTATGATTCTATGATTTTATGATCCAGTAGGTAGTGACATCAGGCTCCAGAAGAACAGAGGGCTTTAATTTTTCTCTGGCATCCTAGGGTCATCAACTGAACCAAAGCCGAGCTGTGCTGCCGAGGTGGGTATACAGAATCCAAGTGCCAGGAGCCACAGAACTGGTTAACCTGTTTCAGGTTTGATCCAGCTAACATGCCCCTTTCCGCACGCTGCCACATTCACATTTTGGTGCAAGACTGTAGCCTCGAATAGATGTTTGGTCTTGCTGAACAACACTTGGAGCCAGCTGACAGGAAGGGCACAGGGGAACCGTAAAATCCAAGAGAGACTTGCCTTCAGCCCTGCATGCCCGGCAGTGGCTGGCGTACCGACGTGAGGAAACACAAGCGAGATGCAAAAGCCTGTTTGGGGTGGACTTGCCCAACGAGCCGAGATCGTGCTGTGAAGGACTCCCAGTGCAGGAGGCGGGGGTGAGCCCAGAAAGAAGGGAACACGGTGTTTCTTCTCGAGTGGAGGATTTATGTGCAGTTTCAGATCAACGCAAAGCCTTTTGCCCGCAGAGTGACGTCAGTATGAAATGAGATTTGGGGGGTGGAAGGTATATGCTAACAAAAGCCCAGGTCTTGATGGCGTCACAAAAATTTTTTCCCCCCGCCCCCTCCCAAGGAGGTTTGCCGGAGTGGCTCTGCTGTGAACCTGTCACCAGGCTGGGCCGTGCCAGCGAGAAGGGGCATGGGATCATTGTTGTACAGAAATTACAGGAACGTTAAAGCCTCCTTTTATGCGTATTGAAAACCTTTATTTGTTTGTGCAAATAGTATTCATGCAAATTATGCATACACTAATGGGAAGCCCTTTAAGAATGTGTCTTTGAAAACACAGGCTCCTTTGCCAAGAAATAATGGGACTTCCTTAATTATCAGCTGTTATCTTCTGGTTTTGGCAAACTTTTGTTGCTTTATGTGCTGTTGTTTCTTTTATGCTTTGACATTAATGAATTGGAATTGAAATTATGTGCTGAGGAAAACAAAGTGATCTGTATAAATAACAAAATGGCATTCTTGTGTGTGTCAAAAAGGGGGGGATCAAGCATTGTGCAGAAGGAATTTGGAAACTGTGCTTTCGCACAAACATCTTAATGGAAACTAATAGCTGGCTCCAAATCACAGAAGTGGTTCAAGAGTTGGTGTTTTGAGAAATCTGAGCAGAGCTCAGAAAGTCTGGTTGGTGCTGGAGGCTCTCCGTGTTAGGTGGCAAGCTGTATTTTAACAGAGGAGCTCGTCTGCTTCTTCTCTTGTCCTTCTGCTTCCAGCCATGGCTGAAATTCCAGTGGTGGTGGTACAAACCTAACCACAGACCTTGATAGTCCTTTATTCATGCTGAAACCCCCTTGGACAAACGGTTACCTTGGCAAACAGAGGAAAGTAATTTTTAACAGGGGATCTTGTGAGGGGAGAGAAGGAGAAGGAGTGTTTAGGGCAGTTGGAAGGGTACATGGGTCACCAGGGGATCGCTGGTCAAGAGAGACTAGCTGTTGTACAAGAGGTTCCCTCACCGTTTCAGAGAAAGAGCAGAAGGA